CTTTTTTTTTTTATCGTGAATCTGTTACAAAGTTTCTTACTCCTTGCAATGCTCTGGACTACAAATCCCAGAGACGTAAAGCTTATCCCAAGGATGAGCCCGGGTGTAAAGCCGCGGCAAAGCTTTCATTTCTATTTTGTTGTCTGTTCTTGCTGTAAAGCTTCAAGGAAACTGACCCCATAAAGCATTGCCAGCGGGTGCCCACAATTGTTTGTGTTGAGATCTACTTTTCAAATGACGAGGTACATGAGATCTACCAATGAAAAAGAAACCTCCCTCGCTCTCTCTCTCCTGGCTGTCTCTCCTCGCTCTCTCCTGGCTGTCATTCCTCTTCGCCCTTCCCCCCCTTCCTGATCCACCAGCATCAGCTCTGAGAGCTACTGCTAGATCACCATCTACCTAATGGGCACCCCTGCCATAAAGCATTTAAAAGTTCTTTACTTGGCGCAAATGCTGCGTGTACAAACTTAGTTACATGAAAAACAAAACATACATACATACATACATACAGGCTGACATACATACATACATACAGGCCGACATACATACATACATACAGGCCTACATACATACAGGCCGACATACATACATACATACAGACCGACATACATATATACATACATACATACAGGCTGACATACATACATACAGGCTGACATACATACATACATACAGGCTGACATACATACATACATACAGGCTGACAGACATACATACATACAGGCTGACATACATACATACATACATGCTGCTACAAACAATGGAATCCCATGCACCCGCTGGCAATGCTTTATGGGGTCAGTTTCCTTGAAGCTTTACAGCAAGAACAGACAACAAAATAGAAATGAAAGCTTTGCCGCGGCTTTACACCCGGGCTCATCCTTGGGATAAGCTTTACGTCTCTGGGATTTGTAATCCAGAGCATTACACTCCTTTACCATCCAATGTGAAGAGCTTTATTGGTCCAGACGAACAAACATGACCTCAACCTCTTCCACTGATGCGTTTCACCCGAGCCTAACCACAATGACCACTCACTATGATCCTCTATAGTTATCCCAGTTATTGGGCGAAATGCGTCAATGAGAAGGAAGCGGTCCTAGGCGGGCTTCTTCAATATCATATATGATTTGTCTGGAGTAAATAAAGCTTTTCACATGCATTCGGGAGCGCCAACAGTGG